GACAGACAGACTAGCCAAAATCTGGTCGCGTACTGAATCAAGATCATTAGGAAGTCCAGCGAGAGTAAGAACGGGAAACATCTTCTGTCGCTGCTCTTGTTGTTTTTCCACACTAGCAGAAACTGGCATCAACTTCTCAAATTCCTCCATGACTGCCTGTACTTGACCCAAGTAAGTAGACATATCCAATTCCTGCTTCTTTAAGTTTGTCATCCGTGATATCACATCATAGAAGCGAGATATGTCATTAGTGTATAAGGTGCGTGCCTTTGCCCAAACCAAATAACATGTCTGGAATGGACGAAACAAGGGCATCAACTTGGAATCAATAGATCGCCACAAGATGCTACATAACTGAGCATCGATTTTTGCCCAAAGTGCTATTGCCTTTTCATCTCCATCGCTAGACTGTTTGATTAGATGATCTTGAACACTTCGACCTCTACACCATAACTCGACAGATGAAGCCCAAGCTAAGTAGTTTGAACCTCCTATTAAAGGTTCCGAGGTAATAATAGCACTAGAGCTTCCAGAACTCATGTTTCTAGACCCAAAAGCATCAAATCCCAAAGACATTGTTGCAAATTATTACCAAATAGGAGAAAGAATCAATTGTAATCCACTGAAACAGTGTACGGAAACACAAAAACAGAATACCGAAATACTGTAGCTGCCGGAATCTACTGTAGCTGTCAGAATAGTACTGTAGCAGCCGGAATAGTACTGTAGCTGTCGGAAAAAACTCAAAGTTGTCGGAATGAAATGAAAACAGTAGGGGTAGGATCGGAATTACCAGGCGGCTCAACTGTTCTGAAGGAAGATTTTCAAAAAATGGCCGGAAGTGGTTGTACGCGCCGGCGCGTGAGCTTCTAGTGGCGCGTGGAGGCGTGTGAGGAGGCTGCTGCCGGAGTTTTTCACTGGGGTTTGGTCGCCGGACAGTTACGACTCTTGTGGTAGTGTTGGATTTTGCACAACACTGACAGAAATGAAGCAGATAGAAGACAGCCTTAAAAAAGTACTGATTTCTCTTTCACGGAAATTTATGCACAGCGATTTCTCTTTCCCGGAATCGCTGGAATTTATGCACAGCGATAAGTCTCTCACAATTGCTCTGATACCATGTGAGAAGGCACGGGAGAAAATATGTTATTGATATTAGATGAACAATATACTACAAGAGGGCTATACTATACAAGGACATACTATTCTTCTACCAATGTGGGACAATACTACACTATATACATGCTGTAAACTAACAGTATTAACATCATAATTACTCGATTGCTATTAATGATAGTAAAGTATAATGCACATCAACATTCATTAAGATTTATCCCAAGTCAAATCATGAAGTTCCTCCATCCCTGAGCAAATGCTTCTTTTTGCTTCTTCAGAGCCATTTGGGGTATTTTCTTTGAATTTGGTATGATTAATTTATCTTTGAGAATATGACACATGTTTAGAAAATGAGAAGTACCACACGATGAAACATTTTGCACTTGAGAAATAGTTTTTGATTTTATCGAAGTTATAAATGTGATTTCTGATAAGAGAAGTCACTAGTATAGAAATTTTATCATGACAAGGTAGTAATTTTCTTATTTATTTCACAAAATATGACATAATTTTTTTTCTATTTTCAGGAAGATTTTATACGACTCAATTTGTAAAGGAGTATGCATTTAATCATTCATGTTTAATCCTACTCCATTCATCTGTTAGTTATTGTTCATGTTTTCCTTTTATTTTTGGGCCTTAGCAATCAACGTTTTTATCTGAATAACCATTCATCTCCGAGACCCTAGTATTATTTTAACAGTTTCTTAACCGTGAGGATTTACATTAAACAGGATGAATGAACAACTTAATTTTTTTTACTCTCTTTTACTGTTTTGGCAGAGGGATAAAAAGGAAGAAGCTCTAAGATTGGCGCAATTATCTGCAGAGAAGCCACATTTTTCTCACTGCCTAGAGTGGCTTCTTTTTACTGTGTTTGAAGCCGACATTTCTGGGTAAATTTTACCAATTTGATAGTTTGTAAGATTATCACTTGCTATCCAAAATACTCGTGCTGATTTTTCGTCATGTATATTTTTCTGGTCCTTAGAGTTCTGATATTCAGGAGTTTCCACGGGAACATTGTTGAATCACAAATATTATCTTGCTCTAGCACTCCCTCCAACCCATCATAAATGATGGGTCTTGGAGTAGAAGGATTCAACAGTCTTATTTTTGGCTTGAATTTGTACATCAATTCTTTTGGTTATTTAAAATAAAATTCATATATTCAAAAGCTCTACAATAAATAAATAAATAATTCACACTTTTACAATTTGATGATATAGATAAATGTTTAAGAAAATCATAGTTAAAGAAAAACCAGTTGACTCTGAAAATAGCAAGTGGTTTTGAGAAAAACAGTTAACTAAAATGAGGTAGAAAGTTTAATTTTTGTTGAATAGTTGTTGTTTTCTCGGAATGCATCTTTTTGTGGAACTTGGAAGTTTTCTTGTTGAGATTGTCACTAATTTTGTATGACTTTGATCTGACCGGTCTTCTCTTTTTTCTCCCTCTGCCAAACCCAGAACACTTGTATTTTCATCATAGTTGTATAATATGCGTCTTCTTTTACAGGAAAAACCCTAGCAAAAATCAGAGTGTTATTCCCAACCATTCAACAAATTCGTCACTTCTGGATAAGACATGTGATTTAATAAGAAATTTTCCGGAGTACTTTGACGTGGTTGTTAGTGTTGCAAGAAAGACTGATGGCCGGCATTGGGCAGATTTATTTGCTGCTGCCGGGAGATCGACTGAGTATGTAAAAGCATATATTTTTTAACCTTTACGACACTACTAGATGAATTTTAACAAAGGAGCAGTTTTAATGTATATCAAAAGCCTATTAGATAGTTCATGCGTTGTAGAAAATTATTTCTTGTTGTGTCCAACTCCATTATGAGCTAATTCGTCTCTATGTTTAGGCTATTTGAGGAATGCTTCCAAAGGAGATGGTATCGCACTGCCGCTTGCTATATACTAGTAAGTTTCAAATTTCTGTCTGCAATCTCCATCTTGTCTTTGGGATACAAACTGTATATCTTCTCTAAGCTTCCCTGTCTTTAGGAGTTGGCTGGGGCTTCTTTAGTTTGTGTTGAAGACTTTGTGCAATATCTTTCAGGAAGTACATTTGGATGTCTTTGTTTGATATGCCTCTTGCTGCAGGTAATTGCTAAGCTTGAGGGTCCAGCTGTAAGTCAGTATTGTGCATTGCGTTTGTTGCAGGTAATCATGCCAGATGTAATAAATGTTAGCTTTTATCCATGTTAATCTGTTGAAGTATTTCCCTGGATAATAATATAGCAGGTAAATGTTGAAGGAAAAATTTAATGAACAATTCCTATTTTTGGTGAATAAGTAATTATTCTCACTGAACGATTTCCTTTAGATGTGTGTAAACACTCTGTTTTGGGTGCCATATTTTGCTTCTTGAAAATCTGAAAATTCATCAATTTGGGCTCTGCGGTCCATGCTGCAGCTCTGAAATCAATATATTTGAAGCCAGCATCTGCCTTTTTATTAGCGCTACTCTTGACTTCTAGTGAAGTTCCCTCTTAACTATTTCTCTTTCTTTCCCTCCTTTTAGGTTCAAATGTTGGATAATTATTAATCTTGTGTTTTTGCATAATTGATGGCCTATCTGTATGTCTACCTTTGTTCTATATGCTAAAGAAGAGGATGCAGCTTCAGTATGCTTAAGTTTAGTTTTTCTTTTTTTATTTTTCTTAAGTAGTAATTTGGGTTTTCACTTTTCATGTCATTTCCAATGGATTTCTCATTTTATAAAAATTAGAGGTTGCTGGTATGGTTACTTTTGTTAGAACCCTTGGGCATTTCTGATGGGCAGTTTAACTAATACTCTTCCTGAATACGAAGATAGGTATCTTAAGTTTTGCTAAAATAAATTGGGTTTAATAATTTTTGGCCTTAGCTGTATGGTCTGTGGTGTTCTTTCCGTAGCAAGCATAACTTGAAATTGTAGCTCTCCTTAAAGTAGGGAAAGGTAAATTCCCTATACACAGAATTGTTTGTCTAGAAAGCAAAAATAATTCACCAAAAAAAGCTGTGAAGTTAACAAAGGGTAGGGGGCGATATAAGGAAATGTTCTCCGCGTTTGCATACTTATCTTCATTTTGATTTCATAATTCTTTTCATTTTCTGCATGGATGACTTCATCAAAGATTTGTTTGGAACAAGACCAGTTAAATATATGAGATTTACCTATCAAAAAAAGTATCTATTAAATAGCCTCATGATTGTTTTAGATTTCTTAGGCTTTGGGCAGAAGATGGCCTGCATAATTAGGGATGTGGAAATTTGGTTATGTATCAGATGGGTCGGGTCTTCCTTTGTGTACTCTTAGATATCGTGATTCGTGAACAATAGCTATAATTCACCTCCCTTTATTATATCATTTACGGAAGCTCTTCAATTCATTATCTTGTTTAAATTGTGGCTAGGTGTCAGTGTTCCAATTTGAATTTCTTTTTAAGTAATTACAGCCATTCAATTTACTTCTGGGGTGAAATAAATTTTTCCCGAGTATCCAAACGATTGTCTTGGAATTCTTAGTTATCGTGCTCCTCAGTGAAGTGTGTGTGCACAGACACTGAAGAGGCAGGCATATCCCTTATCCATCACTGAAGAGGCAGGCAGGCATATCCCTTATCCATCACATTACTTTTTTCTTGTTATTTGTTAACTCCATAACTTTATGATATTTTTTCTACTCCTTACCTGGTGGTTGGTGGGGCTTGCTTGACTAGAGTTTTGGATGGTGGTAATGGAAACTTCAGACGTTTTAATCAATCGATCAATCGTCAGTGCTTCAATACCAGATTAATTGGGGCTGCTATATGGATCCTCTAAATCTAAATCTGCTCTTTGCTTCAACTATGCTTCAATTCATGATTAATTGAGACCGGCTATATGAATCCTCTAAATCCCTTCTGCTCTTTTCTGGTCCATTTCATTCCAGTAATCATTTTTCAACATCATACAATTTAATGATTTGTGAAATTTGAATTTACATCTGAACATGTATTCGTGGAACTGTGAGGCCTGAAATATGTTTCTGAATGGCGTTACCACGTCAGTTGTTTGTGCTATTGCATGAGTGGCTGCTTGTTCAAGTATATTCTCTTGTATAATGGAGCTACAACTCTTTTTTGTACCTACTGCATCTTCTTGATGCCATTAATGAAACTTCTTACTTCATAAAAAAAAAAAAAAAGCTTAACTGTAGCAAGTATTTGATGCATTTTTGTGATGTGATATCCCTTATGCATGTCCTTTTTGACAATTGCCATGAGTTTTGTCATCTGTAAAACATCAAATTGACTGGGTAAAGGATAAATGATATTTGGTCCCAGGCATTTCAAATTTTATTAACAAGATCAAGATGTTAATGAACTTTAATTCAATTTGTTTCCAAACGGAGATCAAGAAAACACATACATGGTAAAGTCAAAACATTTTAGTAACATCAGCAACTTTGGACTTACTCCTTGACCTCACTTGGTGTTCTCCTCTTGCCCAGGCAACATTGGATGAGTCTTTATATGAACTGGCAGGGGAACTGGTATGAACTTGGATGTCGATCATGCTTCTTTAACAAGATAAATGTCTTCTTTGTGTGAAGTATTCACATTTTTATCTTTGGTTTTCAGGTGAGGTTTCTTCTCAGATCTGGAAGGGAATATGAACCCACAACTACTGATTCTGAGAAGCTATCTCCTAGATTCTTTGGATATTTTCTGTTTCCTTCTAGTTACCGGAGGCAAACTTTGGAGTCCAAAGGGTAGATATTAATTAGTGCAGTTCTTTGCTTTATCTTTTAGCAAAAGTTGGCACCAAGATTCTGGTGCTGATGATGGAAGAAGACTTTCACTTACTTTGTTCCTTTTCTTTTAAAATACTTGGAGCAGTTCATTTAAGGAGCTGAGTGCACATGTTGCTTCTGTTAAGAATATTTTAGAAAGCCATGCAAGCTATTTGATGTCTGGAAAAGAACTGTCAAAGCTTGTCGCTTTTGTGAAGGGCACACAGTTTGACCTCGTGGTATGATTCTGATATACTTTTTTGATTGTATCCTATTATGTTATTGAAAACAGATCATGTGATATAAACGCCTTGCAGGAATATTTGCAGCGAGAAAGATATGGAAGTGCTCGGTTAGACAATTTTGCTTCAGGGCTTGAACTTATTCGGCAGAAGGTACTAACTAGTAATGCTTGCATATGTCATGTAGAATGCTACCATTGTATAAGCTTCATTATCATATTTGTTTCGTATCAGATGGATGATAAGGTGAATTATGTCCATAAACTATTTTAAGCTCTTGCATCACAAAGGTTTTTCTCTTGGTGATGTGATTGGGGCACTTTGTCTCCAGAGAATTTGAGAAGTTTCTACTTTGTGTTCAAGTTATGAGTTTACTGATCTTTTGTGGTATAACAAAGTACTTTTAAATCAATCTGATCTCTTATTTTTATGCTTTTTAGTGTTCTCTTAATTATACCCGTAGATGTTCCAGTTCACGTAACAGCTTTGACTTGTACCAATCAGTTCCCAAATGGTGCCTGAATTTCATTTTTAGATGTATTTTGTTTTAGTACGTTTGCTTATATGCATTCTGAAAGTGTGTTCAGCTATAGATGTTGTTGAACTTAATACTGATACTAATTATTTTTTCCTTTTGAATCATCAGCTTCAGATGGAAACACTGCAAAGTCGTTTAGATGCAGAGTTCCTTTTGTCTCATATGTGCTCTGTCAAGTTCAAAGAGTGGATTGTAGTACTGGCCACACTTTTGAGGCGGTCTGAGGTCTGGCTAAATTCCCTTTATTGAATGTAGGATATTACAGATAGGTTACCTTAACTACATGAAAGATGGTTTCCCCTTAGTTTTACTGCTTACATTCCCCTTTGGGCGAACTTCAAAATCGGCTTATTTTGAGAGTCACTTTTGTTAGTTGTAAAGCTCACACGGGTTTCATTTTATTATTTTTGCTCAGGTCTTGTTTGATTTATTTCGGCATGATTTGCGCTTGTGGAAAGCATACAACATTACTTTAAAGGTAAATCTAATATGTCATTTCGTTACTCTAACTTCATTTGTGTGTCTCACTGTGGTTTTCCTTTGTATCTTCAGTCCCATCCATCATTTGTCGAATACCATGACTTGGTTGAAAGCTTGGATGAAAAGCTTTCATCTGCTTCAAATTCAGAAGAGACGTGAGCTATCTGGATGTAAAGAGCTTTTCAGAAATTTAAAAGAGCTTCCAGTGAGATCATCTGCTTCAAGCGTTAACTTTCAGGCACCAACTTGACATCAGCATAAATGTTTACCACTATATGGGGCTGGGAGTTGAGCGGCTCTGTGAGAGGCACGAGATGAGATTTTCAGTTCCTGCTCTAGTGTCCACATCTCTGTCCTGCAGAAAATTATTTTGTAGATAAGCATATCATTGCTATTAGTTCTTTGATTACCATCTTTTCTTGATTCATAGTTTGTATCAAATTTTAGCTTTTCCATTGAGGGTGTGGGTGATTGTAATGAAACGGGGCACCTGTTGTATGAAAGATCTGATCTTATAAATAGAGAATAGAGAAGATTTTGTCCATTCCTGCATTCCTTTTTCTTTTGCTCTTCTGATTGCAATACATTAATCTCTATAGTATCTGGAAACTGCACAGGTATTTTCGGAAGATATGTTTAGCTTTGCCTGCTCAAAATGGTGTTTAGGTACTATTGGTTGCGACAAAAGGAAGATAGTTCCCCCCACCCCCACCTTAAGGAATGGGAATTGGGATTCTTTTTGTTCATTCATTCAACTTTGTGTTCATTATGCAAAAAACACTTTTCTTCTTTTTGTTACGTAAAAATCGTTCAACTTTGTGTTCATGACCCAAATGTCACTTTTCTTTCTTTTATTACGCAAACATTATTTTACTTTACTCTATTTATCACAAAAATCACCTTGATCAGATTTTATAATACTTTTACTTGAAAAGTTTATTATGTCCTTGACATTATAAATCCTCTCATTTATGTAATACCTTATATATTATATACTATATAATATATTTTCACCTAGGTATTTTACTTATAGTTAAAAAAATTTTAAATTATTTTATTTATTATTTTTATAATATATCCATACATTTAATAAAAACATGAACATATAATGAAATTTTTTTTTCATCGCACTCAATTTATTTAATCATATTCAAACATGAACATATAATAAAAACATATTTGTTTAACAAATGATAGTTTTTTTATAGTCAATAAAAATTTTAATAGACGTTTCAAAGATATTTGTTTTTAATATTAATTTTTAAAGGTTTATCTGTTAATATTATTTATTTGAAAGTATTAATGTGATGTGTCATTTTGCTAAATGTGGGTATTTTATTTATTAAATTAATGGGTATGAACTTGGCTGATAAATCAATGAGCTTTGATTTTTTAATTTTTATTAAACATATTTCATTAAGCATGATTAAGAACGTGGACTTAAGATTTGTTCCCGATAATGTTACTAACAAATTTAATAATGCTACTTATATATTTTAAAAATTAATATTAAAAAAACTAAATGTACGAATATATTATAAAAATAATAAATAAAATAATATTAAGTTATTTTAATTATAAGTAAAACACCTGGGTAACAGTATATTATATAGCATATATTATATAGAAGGTATTACATAAATGAGAGAATTTAAAATGTCAAGGACATAATAGACTTTCCTGGTGAAAGGTTTGTAAAATCTTGTCAAAGTGATTATTGTGATAACTAGAGCATAGTAAAATAATTTTTGTGTAACAAAAAAAAGAAAAGTGACTTTTGGGTAATGAACACAAAGTAGAATGACTTTTACGTAACAAAAAAAAAAAAATGACTTTTGAGTAATGAACACAAAGTTGAATGACTACCCATGAAATTTACTCATTCTTTTGTGGAAGTTGAGGGTGGGATGTGATGTGCTTAAANTATATAAAATTGAGGTACATACGAAAGGTTATGTGGCATTCTCTTAGGCTAGAATTACTATTTATCTTTTACCTTATTTTTTTTTTGGCTTTTTCTCTCTTTTCCAAAATTTTAAGAATATTGAAAAGTTCAAAAGTCACCTCATTAATTTTGTACCTAATTGCACATGTTCACGTAAAAATAGCACGGACTATCTAGTTTTCGGACTGGTAATTCAAAAATAGCCAACGTTTGCAAAGTTATTGAAAAATAACCACTATTTTGCTCCAACACGGACCGGTCCAGCATAATATACTGGAGATTGGTGCACCTGTGTATAAACTTCCAGCATATTATGCTGGAACTCCAGTATATTATGCTGGACCGGTATATTATACTGTAACTCCAGCATATTATACTGGAGTTCCAGCATATTATACTGGAGTTCCAGCATATTATACTGGAGTTCCAGCATATTATACTGGAGTTCCAGTATAATATGCTGGAGTTACAGTATAATATACCGGTCCAGCATAATATACTGGAGATTGGTGCACCTGTGTATAAACTTCCAGCATATTATGCTGGAACTCCAACACATGGAAAATTACAGCATAATATACTAGAGATTGGAGCACATGTGTATGAACTTCTAGTATATTATGCTGGACCGGTATATTATACTGTAACTCCAGCATATTATACTGGAGTTCCAGTATAATATGCTGGAACTCCAGTATATTATGCTGGAATATATACTGGAGTTCCAGCATATTATACTGGAACTCCAGTATATTATGCTGGAATATTTTTCGGATTTTGAACAATGTTTTCGTTCTGATTTATCTTTACATAAAAAATGGCTAAATTTCGATTACTTTTGAAACCGTGACTATTTTTCAATTACCACTTATAAATCTGGCTATTTTTGAATTTTTTCCACACTATTAAGACCCCAAAAGTCACTATTAAACAAACGTTACTTTGTATTACAATCCCAAAGAGGAATACCAAAGTCTGATTTATTAGTCCCTTAAACTTCCGTCATCGCCAGACGCATCTCCTACTCAAATTTAATACAAAATCTCCGGATCATCATAGGGTGAACCACCAAATATGAGTTTGTTACTTCATTCGACATTGTCCTTTTGTAAATTAATAAGTTCATATATGCTCATCTTCTTTTCTTTTTCCTCGAAACAAGTAAAAAAATCTTAAATTATTTATGATAATCCTATTTCTACTCATTTATGATAATCCTTCTTCCATAGGAAAAATATATTCATTAACTTTTCCCCCTTTCAATATTTTCATTTTGAATGTATATTTTGTTTTGCTCTACTACAGTTGTTGTGGTTTTAATCATGGGTTCTGTTATTGCATGTTCTTCTTTTTAATCGTCGCGATATTTACGGACTTCACATTTTCCTCCGGGTTTATAATATATGGATGTGTTTGAGATGAAGATTTTTCTTCTAGAGAGAAGAATGTATTCACATGTAGTATTGGCTCCCTACACATTATGAACCAAAGCTTTGATCTTGATCGTTTACTGCCATGAAAGGTGAACATCTTAGCATAATTTAATTCTTTTTAATAGCGCATTATGATGTGATCTCCTAAAAAAATATACTTTTTGTATAGTTTTGTGGGTATTTCAAATTGGATGAGATTTAGGTATCCTTTTGTGTACTATGGTGTTCACTTGGTTTGTTTGCTATTTTGTGGGTATATGAAAGTTAATAAGTTTTTTTTTCTTTCCTGGTGCTTATCTCTTGGATTTGCATTTATGTTACCATGACAAAATTGAAGTATCAAACAAGGAAACCACAAGGAGAAAGGTCGGGAAAAAGCTCAAGCTCGGTGATGAATTCACCATTGACATGCAGTTAGAGAGAAGAAATCAGTGTCGAAGAGAGAAGAGAAGAAGCAGTTGAGAGAAAATTTTATTCTGTTATGTTCTGTATAGTGCAAATGGAAGGCTACTGTGTATATTTATACAACTAATCTAACCGACTAATTATGACAGCTGTACTAACTCTACCAATAACTATTATTCTAACTATGGTTAAGTTACCTAACTACACGAACTGATACATCCTTGACACCCCCCTCAAACTAGGACTGGGAAAGATGTTTAGAAGTCCTAGCTTGGACATCAAATATTCATGTTGAGGTCGACCAAGCCCCTTAGTAAGAAGGTCAACCTCTTGCTCTGTTGTAGCACATTAGAGAGTGGAAATGAGGCCCCGTTGAATCTTCTCACGGATAAAATGACAATCAATATCAATATGTTTCGTGCGTTCATGAAAAACATGATTGGCAGCAATGACAAGAGCTGACTTGCTATCATAGTAGATAGGCACAAGAGACTGATGCTCGAGCCCCAGCTCCTTGAGTAAATCAAGAATCCACGCAACCTCAGTGACAGTTGAAGCAAGACTACGATATTCTACTTCTGCTGAGCTTTTAGAAATGGTAGATCGATTTTTAGATTTTCAAGAGATCAAGGAAGTACCAAGCTTAACAAAATATCCTGTAACTGACTTGCGTGTATTAGGACATGCAGCCCAATCAACATCGCAAAATGCTGAAAGTGACTCAGAATAATGGGCAGTCAAGAAGACCCCCAATCCTGGACTGGTCTTGATATACCTGACCACCTTGAGTGTAGCTTCCATAAGAGAAACTTTAGGACTGCGCATAAATTGGCTGAGACTCTGAACAACAAAAGAAATGTCTGGCCTTGTGATGGTCAGATAAAGCAGCTTCCCTAAGAGCCTTTGATATGGGCCATGATTAGTCAGCAAAACATCAGCAGAGGATCCTGTATGAGCATCAAATTATGAAGTAGTTACCTTGAGATTGGGTTCTATAGGGCAAGCCACAGGTTTGGAACCTGAGAGTCCCAACTCTACAATAAGCTCCAGAGCATACTTGCATTGATGCATCAATATACCATCTTAATTTCTGGCAAATTCTATGCCTAAGAAGTACTTAGCTCTCCTAAATCCTTGATCTTGAATGAGGCTTGCAAATCATCCTTAGTCTATTGAATCAATACAAGACTATTACCAGTGATAAAAAGATCATCAACATAGACTAAGACTACTACCATGTGATTTGCTGTCCTTTTGATGAACAAGGAATAATCCAGATGGATCTGCTGAAAACCAGCATCCACTAAGGCTGAAGTTAACTTGAGATTCCATTTTCTAGATGCCTGCTTAAGCCCATAGAGGGACTTGAGCAGTTTGCAAACTGTAGAATTATCATTGGATCCATTGAAGCCTTAAGGAATTGTCATGTACACCTCCTCAATGAGATCACCTTGACAAAAAGCATTATAGACATCCATTTAATGGATGGACTAATGCCTTGAGGCTGCAAGAGACAACACACTCCTAACAGTAACCATTTTCACTACAGGGAAAAAAGTTTCTTGATAGTCTGGTACTTTCCCTTTGATTATACCATTTAGCTACTAATCGAGCTTTGAACCTTTCTACCTCTCCTGATGCCTTGTATTTGATTTTATAGACCCACTTGCATCATATGGCCTTCTGTCCTTATGGCAAAGAAACCAATTCTCAAGTTTTGTTATCCTCCAGTGCTTTAATTTCTGTTTGCATTACTTCTAT